CATTTGATTTTGACAATTTGCCGATACCGATTTTTCCCGATCCGATCTTTATGCAATGCATTAAGAGAAAAAAAAGGAAAAAAGCATTCAAGTTGTCCCTTAAGGTTATTTTTTTATTTAAATTGGATATTCTATCCAACATGGATATAGCTTCTTTCTTTCACAGCAGCATTGGATCAGTTCAGTTGTGCAGCATTGGATCAAAACAAAATAAAGGTTATCAGTACTCGTTAGCTTACTGCTACAATTACACACTGCGCCCTGCCTACTCTGTTGCCAGATTTGAGAGAAATAAGCAACCAGGTCTATGAAGACAAGCCCCAAAGAAGCAACACATACATGATGTTGTGTAATTTGAAACCAAAACTAAGGCCTCAGGATGACTTTAAGACTTGAACATGGTCATTTTTGTTTTGTAACATTGAATACAAAATATAAAAAAAAGTATTTAAAAAAATAAAAAAAAAAAAAAAAAATCCCGATCCCCGACTTTTTTCTCCCGATTCCGATCTTTTGAAAATCACGTGATCAGCTCCGATCCCCGATCACGTGATCGGATCGGGACATCTCTACAGAAAATTGATTTAAAATTGTAATAATTATTTAAACTAATTAAAGCTGAACTTTGATGTTCCATTCCAAGAGTAACACTATTGCTGTAAAAGTGCTTTAAAAACCAAAATAAGACGTTTTTTTTCATGTAAAACTTGATTGTTGTGGTTGATCAGAACTTTATATTGTTGTCAGGTTAAAGCAGGTACGATAAAACTACAGACGTCTCTTTCAATATGATTGGGAGTTTGGAGGACACAAAGAGCATGTCAGGTGTTTCATGATATTTGGGAATGTATTTACTTGGCGTAGGCTTTCTCCAGCAAGGCGCTCCAGAACTCGTCGTTGGAGGCCGAGTGGAGCATGATGAGTTTGTTCCTGACTGCCGGCAGCCGGTCGTCCACCACCACGTCCAGCCATTGGTTGTGATTCCAGAACTGAGAGAACAAAAGAGATGTATTTATTATGAAATGATTCACCCACTGCAGATAAAAGAATCTCACCAATTAAAAGTTCTCAAAGAAATTCCAGGTGTTTTTGAAACCAGGATCTAACAGTTATCAGAGCGAGTGAAGTAGAAGGAGCCGCAGAGTATGAATACATATATTTTTTATTCATAGACTGAAACTGTTTTCAACAAAACACAAATAACAGCGTACCTGGAAGTGAAAGATGCCGGCGTATCTGTTGTCAAAGTCCTGGTTGGGGGGCACGACTCGGGCCATGGCATCTTTTTTGAGGGTCAAGGACGCGATGGCTGCCAGGAGCCAGCAGTCACCTGTGGAGAGCAAACAGGTGCGTCATTTAGTATTATTGTTTATTGATGTCTGTTCATATATTTTATATATGTTGCATATGGGGCGAAGCCTGCGAGCTAGTTCAGGCCGACAACTCGAGCACCAATCAGACATTAACACGTGACGCGCCTCGTCCCTCTTACAACCAACCAAAAACATTCTCCTAAACATGCCGCTCTATTTAAGCTGCCAGGTCTTCATGTCTCTGCCTCGCTGCTGCTGCCACTGCTGTGTTCACTTGCTATTGCTGCGTTCATGTTCCTGCTGCTGTGTTTCATGTTGCTGCTGCTTGCCTGCCCCACCACCACCCCAGCTTCAACCCCAGCTCCAACCCCAGCCCCACCTGTAGGCTTTGGGGATAGTTATCTAATCATCACTCAATGTTCTTTGTAAATCTGTGGAGTGATGAGGCCCGAGCCTAGACGACAAACTCAAACTATATGTTGCTTTTAATAAACATATTAAGAAACACGTGAGTTGTCTGACTGAAATATATTTATGCAACTATATGATTCACACATCCCCATATGTGTTATATATCAATGGATATTAATGAGAGATGCAATTGATTAATTGTGTAGCTGCTAATTTTAATTCCTTTTTATACTGCTAGGTATCTTTATCCATAAAAGTACATGTAAAGTAAAAGTACTGTACTTGATAACGTTTAATTTTCATCATTGCTTGTTGCATGTTTAGAAGAGCCGGGGAATTTTATGAGATTTTAAAAGATTCTTTACTTTCCTACGCTGTATTTGTTATGCAAATGACAATAAAGCCTTTAAATCTTTCCATCTTGAATCTTGAACTGTGTACTGATTCTCGCAGAAAGCACCCACCCAGCTGTCCTTGGCAGATGTCCGTCCTGTCTGCACCCCCCACGATGAACTTTGGGTCTTCACAGATCTCCTGCAGAAAGACGGGAGAATAACAGGTTGCTTTATTTAACAGTGAATCAACACATCTGACAGTTGAGAGGAGACACAGGCTCCTTTAGTGGGTGTGTTCACATTCCTGGCATAATAATCAGCGGCATATCCCAACCACTGAAAACACACACAGACACAGACACACACACACGCACACACACACACATGGAGAAACGCCCGAAAGAGAAATGTGTCACTGTGACAAACGTGAGTGGCGAGTTTTCTAAAGTTTACTCAGTGAATGCTAACAGGTATTACGTGAGTTTAAATAATGATTAACTGTCATATTGTTGTGTAAAATGACATAAGAGGCCATGCTAAAATAATGACACTGTTAATCTAAGATCTGTTGTGCCATTACGGATACTTTTATATACTAATTGTATTATATCTATTATTTGTATCTCTATTATTATGAGAGAGACAATCTGTGATATTTATTTAATTCTTTTTTGGAAGATTGTCAAGAATTGAATGTTTCATATCCTTTTTTATATGGATCCTACGAAGAATAAGGCAATATAGGGAGGCTGTGGCTCAGTGGATAGTGTGCTGGACTTCAAATCAGGGGATAGAAAGTTCGAGTCCCACTGCAGTCAGCATTTCGTTGTGTCCCTGGGCAAGACACTTCACCCCACATTGCTCCTGTGGGGATTGTCCACAGTACTGAATGTATGTAAGTTGCTTTGGATAAAAGCGTCTAACAAATGACATGTAATGTAATGTAATATAATATAATAATAATAAAAATCATATTCATACAGTACCGAAGGAGTGGCAGACCGGGGTGGTGGTTCCCCTTTTTAAAAAGGGGGATCAGAGGGTGTGTGCCAATTACAGAGGCATCACATTACTCAGCCTCCCCGGGAAAGTTTACTCTAAGGTACTCGAAAGGAGGGTCAGGCCGATTGTCGAACCTCAGATTGAGGAGGAACAATGCGGATTCCGTCCTGGTCGTGGAACGACGGATCAGCTTTTTACTCTCGCAAGGATCCTGGAGGGGGCCTGGGAGTACGCTCATCCAGTCTACATGTGTTTTGTAGACTTGGAGAAGG